AACTCTGCTAGATCTCAAACAACAGAATTGATGTTTACAGTTGCTATATACTGTAGCTAAGTATCTTCTTTATTTATCTTGTTATTTTTCTAGTCTCCCCCATCAGTGTGTGCCATTTTAGGAGTCATTAGATATAAAAAACTACTCCTGTTCATAATGGCACTTAAATGAAAAGGCGAGCTTGATTCCAGTACATGCGGTATAAATTTAGAACTACTGCGTGTTTGTCTACATCAGCAAGCACAAAGAACATTAATCCCAGCTCATGAGCACACTGAAATCAACAACAAAGATTTCTAGCTTTTTGTTGCATAACTCATCTCTAAAATGGCTAAAAAATCCTCCTCCTTCTACCCCCAAAAGTCTTTTTAGAACTGAGCCCTTAGAATAATTATCTTCCCATTGTAGTATTTATCACTGAATACAATACTGATGTGTGAGAAGGAAATGAAAATGCTAGATTTCTTCACAGAAATGAAAACGGAGCATTTTATCTTTGCCACTTAAAATCCTTGGACATAAATGCTACGCCCATTACCCCGTTCCATGTTAGTTATAGAGAAATTGTGCTTAGCTTTTTTTATCATGCTCTTCAGTGCATTAAGTGACCTGATTAGCATCTGCTCTCTTGCCAGAGAAGGCAATGTACACAAGCACTTCATTTAATACAATTCTCAAAGTACTTTCAATGTATAAATATAAGCATATTGCCATCTATTTATTTTAGGGAGGAAAGGACACAGAAATATATGGTCCACTTAGAGAAAACATGAATTAATCAATACAGCACGCACTTTGTATCATTTGACAACAGAGAGCCAGCACAGCTGCACAGTTCTATCATGGCTGCCCAGCTGCATCCCAGCTCAGAGGTGGTGGATCATTTTGCAATCTGTACAGGAAAATCATCCCATAGTTACAAGCTTAAGTTCCTGAACACATAAGCCTTACACTGTTTTATTGTGTCAGAGCATGTTTATTATCCTGGGGCTTCAGGTGAGTGGGATGAGCTAAGCTTAAACTTCAGCATCCAGTAGCATTTCCTAGCTCCTGGTCCTGGCACACATTTGGGTCACATCCAGGCACACAAGAGCCCCAGCTGCCTGCTCCCTATTTCACAATCTGGACAATCAAGAGAACAGAGCTACAGCAGACTTGGGAATATGTCTGTCTACGTGCAAGCCTAAAGTATCTTTTTGTCAATGCTTAACAGAAGTCTAGACAGAGAGATGGAAACAGAGTCATTTAAGAAAACATGCAGATGTATAAACAGCCCTGTAAGTTCACAGGTTTTCCAAAGCTTTCTGTTCAAATTGTCATAGTCCATGTAAGACTCAACAAAAGTGTGACAATTGAGCAAAAAAATCTGTCAAGGTGAGATAGAACCTCCTAGTTAACCAAAGTCAGTACAGAGCAAAACTGATGGCATGAATGGCCTCAACACTCACAAGTCAAATTTCTCTGTATTGCTATGTAAATTAACTTCTCACAAATTATGCAGTATCCTCAACTCTTCTTGCCTAGAAGAAATAGTCAACTACCTGCAGATGTAGCATACAAATGCTTGGAAACACAGCTACACCTCAGAGTTCTGTTGAAACAGTGTAATTGGGTCTGATTAAAGACTCTGCCTAAATACTATGCTAGTTATAATGCTACATAATATATTACAGAGGGCTAAAAAATAAATCAAGTGAAGGTAAAGCCATTTTCCCTCAACCAGCAAAGTTCAGGTGTTCCTGTGCAAACATGCTCATTTTTAAACAAAGTCAGCATATTTGGTTGTGCAGGCTTTTTTAGCTTTGGCTTCTTCTAGTTATTTCATTAGTGAACTGCTCTTTTAATCAATAGGTTGCCAACTGGGAAACGAAGTTTCTTATTCACAGCTTTGTATGATCCAATGTTCTAGAAACACTGATGAAATTGCATCCTGTTTTCCTTAAAACAGCATCTCTCTTTTTTGGCTCATTTTACCCTGTGTACAAGAGAAATTGGAATATTCTTGATGTCATGAATAGTATTACTGAACCCAGAGTATTTTCTCTATATGCTGAAAAAGCTAAAATAGGTGTAATATGTTCTGCATTTGTTTTTCAAGAGATATGGTCTATCCCCAAAGCCCCCAAATTAAATCTACGAATATGCAAAAATGTCATTGGAAAAAATTCAGTGGAATTATCTGTGATACATATCTGAATACACTGCTTCTGAATTTGTGACAAGTCTTGATAAAAACAAAATATGCCTGTATGTGTACTGTAGGGTAAATAAATGAACACAGTGCACAAGTTTTAATGCATTCCAAGTTCACACACCAGCTTACCCAGCATTAATTTTTTCCACATGCATACTTTCAGCAAGAAGATGTTTAGTGTGAGATTTTAATATGTTAAGTATGCAAAAACCAAAACAAATTCTGTGTTGTACTTCTTAAGAAACAATTTACAGCTTTCTACACAGCTCAAACATGCTTTTCAGCAGCCAAGAGGTTTTCATTCACAATATTGCAAGCTATAGTATTAAACAGCCTTTAAAATGTCTCATATACATTTATACCACTTCTTTGACAGGAATTGTTTCTAATGAATACCAGAATCTGATCCTCCATTTTTTTGCATATGCTTGTCAAGGTACTTTGAAACTAATATCAAAAATAAGGAGCAAAGCAAAAATTCAATTTAGTTTTTACTGAAATGGATGCTCAGTAAAAATTGGTTCTGCCTAAAACATTTTTTATAGTCAGTTAAAATATGCTGAATAACACTTTAAGCCCTTTAAGTACCAGCTTTCTCTAAGCAACCCAAGTCACAGCCCCATACACAAGTCATGTGCATGCATTGGCTAAAATTCCTTAGCATCAGGAATGCCTTCCCTGTTTGAACCAATTTTGCTCTCTAATGATGCAAGCTTAAACTCTGCTTCTCAGCATCTTGCTTCATAACTCTGCTTTACCAGAGCTAGATGCAATGTATTTACTAATAAAGAAACATTTGAATCAAAATCTTAGATCACACCAAGGTCCATCAAATCTTAGTGATCTCTTAGAACATCCAATGCAATTGTTTCACAGGAAAGCATAAAATCATTCCAGAGGAAAAATTATCTACATCAATCTAGACAAAGTTTCATCTTCTTGTATCATTAGACATAAATTTAAGCTCTGAAATGAGACATAGGATGGATTACTAGGTTCTTATAATTAATTGTAATGACTTTGTATAGCATGATCAAAATTATAAAGATGCATAAACATACTCTTTCTAGTTTGGCTAAATGTTTGGTCCTATTGCTTTCTGTTGCACTATAGTCCTCCCATTTAATTACTTTATGCATGGAGGAACAAATATCAGCTTTCAATTTACCATCTTTACTACATACATCCCTAAACTGTTTTCTGTACAGCATGTGGATCTGTGTCTCTGCAGGTCTGAGTCCTTGTGTAATAAGTTTCCCTAATGCTGCCTAGGTTTTATGTGAAGATATTTATTGCATAGTTATGTAAGGAAGGCCACATCCTGTCTTACATCTCTATTATTCTAAATATAAGTAAATAAATGTTCTCATTAATGCCTCTTTTGCCTTGTATTATAAAAGAGGTGGAAAAATTGTTCCTAATCTTTCTACGGTATTCAATATTCTGTATATTTTATTGCGTCCCCACTTACTCATCTTCTTTCCAAGGAAAACACTCCTAATTTTCTTTCATGAGAGGTGTTCCAGATTCTCTATAATTGTTATTGTCCTTCTCTGAAGCCACATATGGAGGGTTAATATCTCTCTGAGATGTGGTGGAAAGCCCTGCACACCATGCTATACAAGAACTCCCACTATGGACTCACAAAAATATTATAATAATCTCTTATTAATCTTCACCCTACTTCATATGTGCCCCAAAATCGTGCTAACTGTCCTGATTGTAGCTGTGCACTGAACTGCTTATGATTATTTTTCTCCCTTTCTTCAAGCAATACTCTTGATTTAGAATTCTGTAAAGTGCACCACTAGGTTTAATTTTAACTTTAGTATGTATTTATTAACACTGAATTTCATTTGCTTTTTTGTTGCTCACTTAGCATCTCTAAGTTACTGAAATTTTCTACTGTCTTCTTTGGTCAAGAAAATTTTCTTCACGAGGGATTAAAGTGACATGTGGAACAACTAGATCTACTTGGATCAGTCAGACTGGTCAAGGGATGAACTTAGATGACAGCTTTTGAATAAATCAATTCTCAGTAAGGAAAAAAGCAAAACAAAAACAACAAAAAAAACCAAACCAGCAGTTGCCAGGAAATGCACATAAATAGGAAATCCTTTCTGATTACAAACAAGTGGCATTTGAAAATACAAGAGAATCACTACACATAGTATTAACTAGGGCACGTACATTGTATTGAGCCAACAAGAGATAACCCCATTAGCATTCAAAACTTGGTAGCATAATGGTCGCACAGAATATTATAAATGCATTACGGTGTCACCTTGTATTGTGGATAAGTGGGTTTCTTAATAGCTGAATCAGAGCAGCAATAAATTTGAGTCCAGCACTGAATAACATTTTTAGCTTTTTTTTTTCTAAACAAACAAAGATCTGTTAGCCATCCACTTCTTTTCTTATTCGCTTTCTTATAATTCTAAAATCTATAGAACCATGATACATCTTCTCTCTGCTTTAGACTGCGAAAACCTTTCTGACTACATTGTCAGTGCTTCACATCCTAGTAACATGTAATCGTGACTTTCAGAACAATTTCTCTAAACTACCAGCTTTCATATAGACAAAGAGCTCAAATCTCCCATAACAGTTTAAATTTGCAAGAAAATAAGTTTATGGGAAGATATACTTTGGATAGAATGTATTTTTTGTATTAATCTCATCGTATAAACTCTGATCCACATAGATCTGACTATACCCTGAAATATTTTTAACAAAAAAACACATCTTCACAATATTGGTCCTACACATTTGACCTTACACAGCTTGGGTTTTTTCACTTACTTACCCATATTGGTAGACTCTTCTTGCATTCTTTTCAGTGCACACCCAGAGGCACCAATGACTAAGAAGAAGAAAGAGCATAAATGTCACAAATTACCACATCCCACCTCTGGATATGACTACAGTTCTTTATAATAAATTCCTGTCTCTTTTTTAGGCTGCCCCCCTGTGATGGCATTTGCTTAGCCTAAACATTCCGGTCAATTAAAATAGAATGCTTTGTTTGGGTTGGATTTTTTTATTGGGGGAGTTTAATCTCAAAATTTCATTTTGTGTAAAGCTAAAATCACATTTTTCTTATTTTGGGAGAGGGAATAAAATATGTTTGCTTTGTTGAATCATGTTTGCTTTTATCTTTTCTGAAGCTATTTATCAAATGCATTAAGATAATAAATCAATATGTTTTGTGGGTTTAAAAGCCTTTCTCATTAAATGTTTTGGCTTGATCTAATTACAGCATCATTTAGTTTCTTCTAGAATCACAATGCTCTGACTAATTTCATTTAGTCTCAAACATAACTTTCCTCATTTTTCTCTCCATCATTCCCTCCTATAATTTTATGACTTGCTTTTCATGTATGCATGTGAAAATCACATTAGGCTGTTGGGCCCCCTCAGTCAAAAACTCCAGTGTTTTGTTTGCACATAGTTGGCAGAGATTTAAATATAGTAAGAAATCTTCATAAAACCTTTTTTAGAAACCGCTGAAAATAATCAATGATATCACTCACAGATCAGGACTGTATCCATGATTTCTGTACATCCCTAAAATACAGAAGGAAATCCAACTTGAATAAAATCAGTTTGGAAAATGAAGGGGAAATGTTTGCATTATAAAATAATCCTTGCAGCATCTACTTGAAAAGCTCTAAAACAAAACAAGTTATAACATTGACCTAAAAATCTCACCAAAAATACTTTCCATGTGAATTTTGTCTTTGGTGAAGTTTGTTTGGCGTTTTGAGGTTTATGGTATTAATACAAAAGAACTAGCATGGCTCCTAAAAATAAGAAAACTAGGAAAAAAATCCAAAAGAAATCCACAGAAAGTGATAGTGAGAAAGCAAACATTTGCTCCTGCTGAAAGATGAACCTTTTTTAATTAAGTCCACTTCATTCTTTTTCTTCTACTCTAAAATGCATTGTTATATGACATACCATATATTATTATCTAACTGCAAATACCTGTTGCAGTATTTTGTGTATGAAAGGCTTTATTGTAATGCCTTCCATTGTAAAACCACACAGAAACAAAACATTAACATTTCAAGATGAAAGTATTACACATTATGAACTGAACAAGCCTGTTGTTTACACCCCAGCAACTTGCACACCTATCCCAGTTAATGGCAACAGAATTATGCCAGGGATGATTTAGGAATTTAGGTCCAGTGTAAATCAATTTAGTGGCCTCAGTGAAACTGGATACTTACAAAGTTTCTCACTCACTTTGAGGGGGACAATATTTTTTTGAAGTTGATGGGAATGGGACGAGGAATGCAAGGGACAGGGACTGAACTTACAGAGAAAGGGGGAAGGAGATGTCTTTCTACTTAGGAGTCTGAGTTATTTACAAAACTAGTCTTCCCTATCTCCCTGTATGATTAATTTGGACATCCTAATACTCATCTAATCTTTACACATCGAAAAATTCAAAACAAATGAAAAGCAGTTGTTCAAATGTCATTTTGCATAGAGATGGAGGGATCATTCAGGAGCTCTGTGAAGGAAGGCCTGGCAGATCAATCAGTCTTTAACTCACAGTTTTCACTACTAGGTATTCCTGTGAAAGACAGAAGGAAAATTACTACTGACACTGGAGTAGGTTGTCACCTCTGTATGTGAAAACCTGTGATTTCTTCCTACTCAAAAAGCATGCTCAGGTCATTTCTGTATATTCATGCTGATATTTACAATGATGCTAAAAGATTCTAGGACAGCAATGCTGTCAGCAAGACAGTGCAGCATTTTCAAGTTCCTTGCCTGAGTGTGAGAAGAAGTATTTAGTTTTTCCAAAAAGCATAAATGAGAAGGAAAACCTGCAGCCTGAATGATTTTTCTAGTCAGAGATGATTAAAACACAGTATGAGCTCACAGCCATTAGCACTGGCAGAACAGGTGTTTGGGTTTGTTTAAAAACACAAAGCAATGGGAAGATACAATGGGGCTGCAAAAGATGACCACAGAATTAGGAAACAATAGCAGGAGCTTGGCCACAAGACATGGATTAAGTCCTACACCAAAAAGATGGAATGCTATTCCAAAAAGAAATCCTAAATTGTCACATACTAGGTCTCCATGCAACTGTTAAGAAAGCCTTTCCCAAGTAGCACATGCACTTTGCTATTGCTTGGTAATACCTCTCTAGTCTTTTACTCTGAATGAATGGGGTTTTTAATTTTACTGAGATCCTTCACATAGCTCTTGGCACACAGGGCTGAAGGCTTTCCTCACTCAAGTTTACAAATGTTTGCCTTCCTGTAATCCCTTCCACAGCAGAAATCACCCTGTTTCTCTGACCATTTTATTATTTTTTTCTATACAGTTTGAATGGCTCTTCAGCAGCCGCTGTATATTTTGATCAACTCTGCAACAGGTCCTTTAAAGAGTCACAGATTTTAACAGCTAATTTTAAGTGAGATCTAATCTATCACAGGTACCAAGAAGCCACAAACCACAGAGAAAACATCCATTTGTGGCATCTGGCTAAGACCTTTGTTGATAGCTGAAGTACATCACTATAATTTTCTCTAAAAAATCAGCTGATGGGTGCTTCAGAAGTTCTATAGATACATACCTGCAGGTACCCTCAGAGATACACCTGTTTTATTATGTGAATAAATACTGTTTATTACTTCAGAATATTTTTTCTTTCTTCCTACTCCATGTCCTTTTCATATTTAAGTACTTATCATTGTTCTTTTTCTTCTTACCTCACTCCATTTTATTTTCATTTTTCTTTCCTTTTCCCTTTTACTAATAAGCACATGCTTTGTGCTAATTTTGCTTGCCCTTGGTGATTTTGCAATCTTACACTTTAGTATCTAGAATATCAGTGGAAGAAAAGATTGCAATTTTTTGATAAACAGATCAGTAAGAGATAAAAGAATTAATGATTAGCTTGCAAAAAACAGATTAAGTGGACATCCCAATAAAAGCATTATAATTTTCCAATTATCTTTTCTGTGCTAAAAAATACTGCCTGGAATGTGTAAGGAAGGTACTTCCTTTGTGTGTCTTTCAAAATTCATTTTGGATTCATCAGGGTGCCCTGCCTTTTCAGTTACACATATTTCATTTGGTATCAGTTCCCCAATTTACTGAAAACTGGGTAAGGGAAACTCTACACATAGATGATATGCTGTCAGCATATCACAGGGCATTGCAAATGGTACAGCAATGAGCACTGGAATTATAGAAAACACAACTATGTTTCCACACATGAGGAATCCATCAACCAAAGATAACTTCTACTTCTTACAAGACTGCAAACAATGTCCAGGGTTAACCTTTACTGGCTGCCAGATGCCCACTGATCCATTCCTCCTCCCTGGCAAAACAAGGAGGTGAAATAAGATGGAAGAGCTCATGGCTCAATAAGGACAGGAAACTGCTACATGCAAAACAAACTAGCTGGAGAAGATTGATTTAATTTGCTGTCAATTAAAAATATACTAGAATGGTGAGAAAAAGACCAAACTAAATATGCCTTGCCCTCACACCCCCTTCTTCCCAGGCTCACCTTCCTTCCTTCACTCCTCTCTCTTCAGCTTTCTCCCCACTCTATGAGGTACAGTGGGATAAGGAGTGGGGTTTGTGGTCAGTCCATAACAACATTCCATCCCCGCTTCTCCTTCCTCCCCACACTGTTCTCCAGCTGCAATATGGGATCCTTCCCACAGCATACAGCTCTTCCCAACCTGCCTCAGTGTGGATCCTTCCTATGGACTGAAGTCGCTCCTGAAGTGCTCCAACATGGATTTGTGCACACAGCACAGTCCTTCAGGAACAGAGTGCTCCGGTGTGGGTTCTCCATAGTCCACAGGTCCTTCCAGTAAACCTGCTCCATGTGGGCTCCACGGGGGCTGCAGCTTCCTTTATGACATAGGCACTTCCTCCAGCCTGGGATCCTCCATGGGCTGCAGTTTGCAGCACATCGGCTCCACCCATGTGTCCCACGGGCTGCAGGGGCTTAACCTGCATTACCATCTTCCACTCCTTGGGATGCAGGGGGATCTCTGCTCGGACACCTGTTAGCACCTACTCCCCTTCCTACACTGACCTTGGTGTCTGCAGGGTTGTTTCAACACTTTTTTCTCATGTCTCAGTCCTCTTTTTCACAGCTGCTGTGCAGCATTTTTTACTCTTTCAAAAGTACATTTACACAGAGACACCACAAGCGTGGCTGTTCTGATCAGCTTTGACCAGTGGTGGGTCCATTTCAGAGCAAAAACTGACTCTGAGCAACACAGGGACAGCCAGAGGCCGTTCTCACAGAAGACACTAAACAGCCCAAATCCTCATCCCACTGTGTACCAAGATGTGCTTTGCCCTGTTTATAACCTAGACTCTTTCTGAAAATCACTTGGAATGTCTAATTGTTTTCTCAACCGCTGCACCTACAGATGCATTTAGAAATGAAAAAACAGTAGCAAACAAAACTTGGACTTGGATCATTTTAGCAAGGCAAGGGAGCAAAATGCGTTTTGCAGAATAAACAATGAGTTAAGTTTTTACTGTAGCTAAAAAACAGGTAAAGTAAATGTTAAAGAACTGACAGGTCCTGACAAGTATGAATCTTGCTAAGAGTGAATGAAAACTGGGATAGACAAGATTGTAAACTGTTCTCGTTTGATATTGAGAATCTATCATCAACATAAAAGTAGTAAGTAGGCATTTTTCTTCAAGTATTATATGTACTAAAAATTATCCTTCATTTCAAAACTATCTGGTTATGGGAACTGATCAAAAAGTGAATTAATAGAAATACAGATAAAAATATGTTTGATGCCTATAATCAAGAAAACCAAGCAGAAATGTTCATCTAATTGTAATTCTCAGCTGTATCCCTGTGTCTGCTCAGAAAGTCATCCTCAGCAAACTAAGCTGAGTATCACACATTTTCACATGAATATATAACAGTATTTCTATAGCCAAACCCAGATTTTAATATTGACTAAGAGTGAGAAGCTTGGGAGAAAAAATAAATAACAACAAAGCAACACAAGTGAATGAAGCATACAGGGAATAGTTTCCCACAGTGTGCAGCAGTTTTATACCTGCTTTCCTTTCAGCTGGATTTACAGTGAAAAAGGTTGAAGACAGCCTCCTTCTGTCTAGAAACCATTTTTCTCTTCTTTTAATTTCCCTAGCACTCTAAACAAGAACAGTGTCTCACCTTCAAATAATCACTCTGAGTCTAACCATCTCCAGCACAGCACAAGGATGTGTTTTGCCGTGGAAGTGGCAGCACAGGAACCAGTTTTCAAAGGTGATAAAATGAGGTGGGCAACAAAAGAATAAAGTCACAGTTTACAACAAAGACAGAACCCAGGTTACCTGACAAGGAAGAAAATGTAGCTCCTATGAAAATTCAATGGCGAGGTATTGAGACAAATACCACAGGGGACAAAGCAAGGCAAATTACATTGTGTGTATTTCAAAGGTTTTAATTTATGAAGCTCACAAAGTAGGCAAGAATACATTCCTTGTACTTGTCATGATGGAAGTTGGTCCTGAGGCAGGATTAACATTGCAAACTGATATCAAATACACACAAGAAATCATGAATATTTATGATAATGTATTTCATAAACACATAGAGCCAATAACTGCAATCCTGGATAACCTGGTGCTAAATCTAATCCTTACTTGGATGTTACAAAGAAACTGATGCAGCACTTCTATGTAAAATACCAAATGACATATTCAAATAAGCTGTAAGAGCTATTGTATCAGGTACAGAAAGTAAATTAAATAACTGTCACTCATTACAAAAGATTTGCTAATGTTTCAGCATCAGACTTCTGTGTCCTCTCAGAGAAAAACAGGAATTACCTTGAAGGGTGGAAGAAAGCACAGTCTAAAACTTTGAGCAATAAACAGAAAATAAAGCACCACACAGTCATGTCACCAAATAACCACCAAACAGGTAAATAAATCAATAAGAAATGCTGGGTAGAAAAGATAAAATAAAGATAGAACATCTGAACAATGTAAAGCTTTAGAGGCTGTCAGGATTTGTGAAGGAAACATGTAAAAATGAAAAATTAGCTCTAAAGGAAGAGTTAAATTTAGAAAGGGAAGGATAGTAGGTGACCAGTAAGGAGGTAGGTGAAAACCCAGACATTTAGAAGAACCATGCCCAGAATGATGCATTCTGGAGAGGCTGCCACATACTCAAGACTTTGGGAAATATAACTGAGAAGGAGAAATAAGTAAACATGCAAAGCAGGCAGAGTTTTCCATGCCCCATTGGAACAAAACCAGCACCAAAGCAACCCAGAACCCTCATTCTGCCGGTGCTTCACTCCCTGCCCCAGCAGGGCAAGCCCAGAACAGAGGCAGCAGGAGAAAACAAAAAGTGTTCATTAAGCAGGGGGAAGAATCAACAGTAACCACAGTGCTAAAATATTAACTCCCTAGAACAGAAGAAATGGACTGAAATGAACAAAAACATCTACTACAATATACAAGTGCTTATAATTCCAGGATTTCAGTTTCAAATTCTTCAATACTACAATGCTACTACAGTACCTACTTTCTCTGTCAGAACTTGGGGAGGCACCAAAGGCCTACATTGCAAAACTATCTATAGTTTTCTTAGCACAGCACAACATGTTGTGGCATCTCAGCTGTTCAAAGGAAGATGTTGATTTCTACAGCTCCACCCTATGTTTATTTTGTATTTTGTTCTGCATGAACACCATCCAAAAAAATATTTGCAGCAAAATTTCCCTGCCTTTTAGGTCATTAAACTTTTGAAGTGTTTAAATATATCAGGAAGGCATAAATCATCACCCCTCCAAATCACTGCATTTAAGCACTTTTAACATAAAGCATAAAGTATTGTTCAAATAATGGAAGCATGTTAGATGACTTTATCTGCAATTGTTGACCAACTGCACTGAGCCCACAGAGTGAATTTCCACCGAAAACAAAACACAACTTGCTTTCTGCTGCCATAGTGATTAATGATTAATTTTTTATAGAATCTTAGGATGGTTTCCAAACAAACTTCCTAGACTAACCAGTACTTTGATTTTCTGAACCTCTTGACTATACCTCATGGCAGGAATTTTTTATATTGTTTCACACATTCAGTGTTTATCTTATATGTAGATATAGCCAAATGGTTTCCGCCTAAACAATAAATGAACATGACACAGTTATTTTGAATTAGTATATGCCACCAAAAAACAAGAAAAAGAAACTAAGCTAAAGCAACAAGCCAAAGTTTCAGTAAGTAACATGTAAGAATATGCACACTAACATACGTTTGATTAAGTAACTTCAGTACATTTAGCTGCAGTTCTCAACAGAGTCAAACAAAACCTTGAGGTTTTCAGCAATTTAATCTATTCCAAAGACTGCATAAGTGTAATGTGGCAGTTGCTATAGTAACCACATTTTTCCTTGGAACTCAGAGTAGATACAAGTGTAAGTGATTTCTCCATCTCACTGTCTAAGTTACTGCTGTACTATGATTCTAAGCAGCAGCTCTACCCTAGAAACTATCCCACTTGCTAGTTATTTAAAATACATTTAACATTTTCTAAAATATCCCTTTCTGACTGCTTAATTCTACCCTATACTGCTCTGACTTTGCACCCTTTCATAAATCCTCTAGATGACAATTCAGAAAAATGAAAAAAATTTGAAAAATTGGAAAAAATAGTAAATAGATCAATTTATAATTAATTAATTATATTTAAATTATAATTTCCATATATAATATATAGAAATCTGTCAACACTTATTCTTAAAATTTCTGCTTAGAGCATTATTTGAAGTATATCTCAGTGGCAATGAATCCAAATGAACTGGAATTTTTGTTTAAAAAGTCATTACTTATTGATGGTTTCTGCGAAGCATTTTTCTTTTGTGCCACATTTTCACTTCATTCCTTCACAATCAAAACACTCCAGCCTTGAAACCAGGTTGGTATTTTACACACACACACACCTCTGTAAATGCATTACAGATTCTGCTGGTTTGACTCCTGGCTTCCTGGTGTAAAAGGTGGAAGCATCATTCTACTTGCATTTAACTGCCAAAGACTAAACCTGCTATATATGCTAGAGGTGAAAACATACAGTAGAACAGGAATGTTTTTGTTAGCCAATACGTCACCATAATAATGAGCAAAAATGTAGAGGACTGTGCACTAAAAACTGTGTTGTAATAAAAAGAACAATCTGAACACACATCAGGGATTTCAGGGGTGCTGAGCATCTGCAGTTCCAAGTGAAAAGAATGGGAATTGACATCAGTGGAATTATACCAGCTTCCAGCACCTGTGAATTTGGCCTCAAGGTGACCTAATATGCCCTTTCCATCTTTCATTTCTGTTTGATAGCAACAAACAAAATATTTTCTCCACTTTACAATGAAACTAACCAAATAAGCTATGTAGAGCAGACCATTTAATGCATTGAGGCAATCTCCTATGTAAGAATTTTCTTTTAAATATAATTATCTAGATTTTCAGCTATTCAAATTCTATTTAAAATTCCCATAAAATCCTCCCAGCAAACAAGAACATTTAAAACTCAGATAGTGAACAATCATTTCAGAGTCCACTGCTTGTATTTCATCTGTGGGCGAGTTAGTGAAGATCTTCAACTACAATTTTTGGTCCCTGTATTTCCAATTATAAATTAATAATATCTCTTCTGCAAAGGGTCTTTTCATTTTAAGTTTGTCAGATGTACTAGCTTGGAACACTAGACCTGCAGTAGCAGGTAAAGTAGCTAAAGCTAAAAATCTGAGTACCATTCTTACCAGGACTCAATGCAATTGTTTGATGCAGCTTGGGAGGGTTGGTCACAATTTCTCAATGTCCCAAGGAGTTTCATGGGCTTCATTTGGAAAAGCTGGCCATGACTTCAAAGATATTATATGTATGTTTCATGTCAGCTCTGATTGTTTTCTACAAAGCACTCCCTCTGACATAAGAAATGCCTTCCTTTATATAATAATAATAATACAACTGATAGTGTCATGGGCTGTCATGGAGTAGGAAAAATTATCTTCATGTTCTTCACATTCTCAGATTATCCTTATCCCTGGAAGATCTCTTACAGAAGAGAAATGGACATTTTACCACTGCTGTTTAAACCAAACCAGTCCCCAGGAAATAATTCAAGTAGGAAAAACAAAAATGCAATTATTGCCTTTAAAAGTCTCTCATTTTCAATTTTACCCATGGCAAAAATGATGGTGTTGGAAATGTTGAAAATAATGATCTATTTCACAGATTTATGACAAGGAATAATTAATTAATGTTTATACAGTATTTCAGAGGTAGCAAATAATGTTGGTAGGATATATGCATAAATACAGAGCCAGAACAAAGCCTCTTGAAGTTTCCTACTTCTGGAAAATGAGGGTGTACTGATCATGCACAGTGTGACAAAACACTGTTAGTCCACAATGAATGATGGATAAGATACATGTCTTTTTCTACTATGAAGACTGGTTGTGCATCCTTCCTAGCTACCAGTCTGAATTAAAATGCATTTTATAATTTATTCATATGTGCAGTGAAAAGAGTAGTTATTTCTTATGTTTCTCAACTATGGCAAACCACCTTCATCTTTTTTCTATTTGAGTTACTAGATAACAGCTTCTAACTGCACCAGACCTTTTGACAATTTCCTTTAAGCAAATTTGCTATTTCTTATCTAATCCAAATAGCAATAATTGTTCACCATACCTGTCCTATCATACTTAAAGTAGGGGGCCACTATTGTCAAACAGCATTTTGACTTCCATGTAGACAGAACTGTTTCTTGGTATGAAATTTCCATTCAGGAAGCTGCCTGTTTCCATTACTCACAGTTAAAGCTCAGGTGCCATGTTGCTAGTCAGTCTCTCATTTAGGGTTTTTCCCCTCTCTTCCTCTAGCTTCTTTCTCCTACTCCCAGTATACATGTATCTGTTGAAGATTAAAAACCAACAGTAAAAAAACGTTGTTTTGTTTCTTGTGAAGAACTTGGAGATCCTGACAGATGAGTTAAACTTGAGTTGTCAGAACATTTGTTTTCAGCTTGAACCCAGGTCAGTTTTTCCCTTAACTTGAAATAGTATTTCTATAACTCAGGCCATTGTGGTAAATCCTAAGGAAATCACCAAGCAAGTACAACCAACATCCTGACACAGCTTAAGTGCTTGTAAATGGATTTCTTCTGTGTCCTAAATTAAATTGAAGTGTAAAGATTTATAGCATTACCCTGTGACAACAATCAGTAAATTAGATGTTCCATTACCCATTAAGCTCTAAAGATTTTATTTATATTGCTTTGTTTTTTAGAATTGTATGATGACCTCAAACAGTAAATAAGTATTATGTCACCATAATGGATTCCACATGTAAATTGCAATTCTATCTTTAATACAGCTTTATCCGGTGTGCCCAGTTTTAATCAAATAAATATTCTTACTAAAACAAGTAGGTTGTTCTTCCTGCTACACTTGAAGATGGATTAAAAATTCAGATACCTTGAATGTGAATCTCTTTGTCACATTATGCTAACATTTTCTGACATCTTCAGGGCCCATTGTTAAAGTTTTTAGGCTCCCACATGAATTTAAGGAATTTAGGCTTTATTACATTTCAAAATTTATCCAGGCATATAGATCAGATTCATATGGCTTCGGCAGAAAGATTTTTGGTTCTGTCTTTTTTTACAATTTATAGAAACACCAGTGCAATTTTTACATATTTAAAAGCAACTGTGATAGAGATTTAGAGCTCCAACTTGGAAATCAAGAAGTTGTCAAATGGATAATATTTTAGCAGAAAGAAAAAGAAGAAGAACAAAGGAAAAGGAAGGCAGGACTGATAAGTATATACATAATAACCACATTGGCACTGGCACTTCTCCGCACTGAGAGGATAGTTTCACCAAGCTATTTGTTGTGCTATTTGTCCTCTACTGCATTTTTCTCAGTTTGCAAACATAGGCAATGTAGAATTAGTAAAAATGGATTTGTTTCAGAGTCCAGTGCAAATCAAAGATTAAATGCCATTATGTTTTCTCACTCCTTTGTCAGAATGAATACAATGTGCTAGTAACTCAACACAGGAGCTGCTGTATTCTGCTGTACATGTTACAGGGAAGTCACAAAGTGTTACCGCCAGCCTGGAGTGTAACACTCAACATCCTTAGCTTACTTTTATAACCTTTTCAGCTTTTTATGAATGGAGGGTGCTGATTTTATGGAGGGTTTTATGAGGTTTCTTCTCTTTCTAAATAGTAGTGTGAGCATTGAGGAATTTTTATTTCTGTTTTGGTTTAGAAAACCATATATATTACATGACCATCTCCAAGTAAATAAAACAAGAGGACTATGAATATGATGATGCTTTTACAGAAGTTCTACTTTAGTTAGAGTGATATCACTAGTCAATTTGAATGCATACGTATTAATTGCCTCACAACTTGATTTTATGACATCAAGCTGATTTGTAGGGGATCCCCATACACACAGAACAACAAAGGAATAATTTTGGTTTTTTAGAGGGTTACAGTGGTTTCTGTCAACACCATACACAATACCATTTGGAATGATCTATCTGCTACTTCCTGATCATTAAGAGTCCAAAATTACTTATAAGGTCCTTACACCACAAATTCAATATCAGTGTTTAAGCCATCTTACAGGCACTGCAGAGCATTTTGGATAGCAAGTCTTATTCTGATGTAAATGCATCTGTTTTAAATATCTCATGGCATTTACTTCAGTACACTTCATCCCAGCATGACCTGTTGGATGATATCAGAATCTATGCTTAACATAAAAGTAGAAGGTTTTGATTTAATTTTTCTGCCTTTTTCCCCCCAGTACTGCCACAGAATGACAATCAGCATCAACAGCAGAGAATTTTTTAAAATATATGATTTTTCAAACTGACATAAAATTTACTTTGAGATTGCTGTTTACAGACTATATTGCCTAAACCCTATCATTGTGATAGCTTGTTAAATCTCCCTGGTCATGTTTCTTGACTTTTCATTACCATTGGTTTTCTGGTTTCTTATTCCAATATCACATTTCGGTTTTCATTCAGCAGGATTCTGATTTCACTCCATCACCTGCTAACAGCTAAAACAATGTTTTACTGATTGAAAAAAAAAAAGACAAAAAGGCAACAAGGAGGGAAAGGAAAGGGCATTGACTGCTGGTCTCCCTAAATTCCTCTACAAAGCCTTTCTGGTTTGTATGTGCGAGAAAATCACAAAGTTACCATCCTTCTAGAAAGACATAAGCATACCCACTCAACCAAATTCGGCATGAATACACATTAGCAGTACTTTGATTTCGGAAGACAATGGCCTGATAAAATCATACAATTGTAGTTGCATGATTAAGGTGATATTATGCAAAAACAAGGCCTCATGCAGCAGTTGAGGGAAAAGCAATTACAAATCTAAATGCACCATCACACAATAACAGTGCAGAGCAATGTTTACTTAATTAGTGAAACACTCCATGGCATTAGAAAACACTGCATTGTTTGGTTTCCTAACTGCCAAGGCTGCAACTACCAAACATCTTTGCTGTGTGTTTCTGGGAACAGTGAAAGAAGACTGCCTGACACAGCCTGATTCTAACACTACTGATATACCAGTCAATAATCCCAAACTTCCTTCTGCATGTGAGAGAAATACTAGCAAAAGTTCCACCGTTACATCTATACAACTTTTGCTGATAAATATTTAAACTTCATCGTAAGATTTCATATGCATACCAATGCAAACTACTGCTCAAGGGTCCTGCAAATGAATTGGCAATATGAACAGAGAAGAAAGATTTCAAAGAGAAATTCATACCTGACTGTGGGTTTCAAACCTGCCAAAATGCAGAAGGCAAGACGCAGATAGAGAGGATTAAATCAAGGATGAATCAAGGGATAAAGAATACAGGAATATTTCTCTTTCAACTTTAATCCTACAAACTGCATGCAAACATACAAAGCTTTGCAGTCAGACATAAGATTAAATTTCCTATATAATTGCATTCCAGACTATGTTTTTCTTTTCTCTGAGGTATTCATCCCCTAATTAGGCCTAGGAAGATGACTAAACATGTTTTTATTTCTATTACCACTGACTACATGTTGTTAACCACAGATCTTGTCAGAGCCATCCAACAAAAAATGTGTAGCTTACTTAAATTCTGATCTACACTTTTTTTATTTTGTAAGTTATGTGGTGCAATTTAGTGTTCTGGAAATTTTCCATGTTTATTCATTTTATAAAAGATAAATTTAGATGCAATGTACAAATTCTCATTGATGGCCAATTAGTCTTAAAGCCATTTTCCTATGCTACAAATCAGCACAGGAATAAACAATCTGCATGTGCCACTTAAAATTGTTAAAAAAACACAAAAGCCATGAGAAATCACTGTGATTGAAACGTATGTTAAACTTTTTTCTTTTCCAATGTGTTTTTATGGAAATCCAATGTTTCTTTGTGGAGAGATATGTAATAATGTAGCTCTAACACTAATTGGGATTTAACTCTTTGAAACAAAAATTTCTCTTTGGCATTCCAATTTCATAATTGTGGCTGTCAAATCAAAGCTGCTGAGCTGCTGTCTCAGACAGGAACAGCACAGAATTAAGGAAATAAAGCAATTTTCCAATCAAAAATTCAGATTCTATTTCATTTAACACCATCTCTTCATGTACTTACCATTACCAGTTGACATCATGAGCAGCAGGGATTCAGACATATCTGTATCCTGTGTAAAAATTCTGGAAATTCTGGACAAACTGATCAAAGCACTCAGAAATCAATACTCAAATAGACTTTTGAAATTCTAAATAAAAAATAATCAGCGATTAGGATAGGGCTCTGAAGCATCTCATACTGTTTAGAACAGGACAGAACACTTACAGAATATATAATATGTTTGATTTCTCATTAAATCATTGAAGTTAGAATATACTTCTCTGTATTAACTTGGAATGTTAGTTGCAAATGCTATAAATACACTGGTTTCTTTATTTTTGTATGTTCACAAAAAATAGTCACATTATTCCTATGGATTGCATGCATAACCACACACAACAGCAGCCAGTCACTGCTGAGGGCACTGCATGTCTCTTCCAAGGTGCACATCTGTAAACTCAGCTCAGAGCATTGCAAAAAGACCTGGCCAGCACAGACAGAGAGCACAAGGGTGCTGTGTTTATAAATGCACTGAATCTTACACTGTGTGCTGAGAAGCACTCATTAACCTTGATAGTGCCATGCTAACACAGACACTTTGCTTTCACAGTCCTTGACAGGATGCTCAAGTCTCACTGCAGCCTCTCTCTGCAGCTCTGTGCTGCGCCATGCAAACATAGTCACAAAAGAAATTTCACAAATCAGTGGCATTGTTCATTTTGGACAGTTATTTTCATTACAGTGCATGGCCAAACTTCTCCTTTGGCAGAGGTTAATCCTCTATATCACTCTACTTTCTACTAAAATCAAATGATATTACATGATATCTTGAATGTTTCTCTTGATGGCATGTTGAGGAACTTTGGCAATCATCACCTTTCTCTAATAACTTCCTTAAATTTCAAAATTATGCCTATTTGACTGATGTAGAGTAAATAGGACTCTCTTCATGTGTAAAATAATCCCCCAAGCATTATAGCTCTTCTCAAACACTTAATTACCACTTTAAAACCCTCTTAAAGAGTCAGGTGAATTCTGAAGTGTTCTGTTTGCAGAAAATTATTCATTTTGACTATTTTTTGAATTATTTAAACAGTCCTTAACCTACACAACTGCAGTATTTCACTTTTATAAATGTAGTTTAGCTCATAAACCTTTTCTTCACAATTTCAAAAAAACACCTATGTAATGCCCTTCAATGCATGTTTACCAGTCTGTTTAGTTTCCTTCCAAAGTTATTTAACCATTGCCCAGC